AAGAGTGTCCCACAAGAGTGTCCTACAAGAGTGTCCCACAAGAGTTTCCTACAAGAGTGGCCCACAAGAGTGTCCTACAGAGTGTTCGCAAGAGTGTCCTACAAGAGTGTCCTTTGGACATATTAGTTTTTCGATCGTGTTTGCATTCGGGTTCGTGGGTTCCATCTTGTTACTGTTCTAGGGCGTGCGTGCTTTTGAGAAGCTTTTTCAGGACTTCGGATCAGTTGTGGATGTTTATCATCAGTTGCTTGGGATGCTGAAAAGGTTACAGGTGAAATCACACGTCCCAGTCAGATCATATCTCATCATATACATCTGCATAGCACTGCAAAGCCGGATCTGCGGCGCCCCAGATCCTATTGGCCACTTTGTGTGTTGGCAGGAATTGATGGGCTGAGTGGTTTTGGCTGTCATGAGAGATTTCTAAGTTAAAATTTCTTTTGGCTTCAGGCTGGTTGGGTCTACATTCTTTTTCCACTTGCCAAGGGTGTGTCACGAGATGTTGGCTTTGTACACATTTTGGTATATTTTGGGGCTTAGCAGACTTTATCTTGCCGCAGCGCGCTTTCCTGAGGACGCTCCGTCCGTTTGCCCGTCTGCCAGTCAGTGCAAGTCCGCCCAGGTGATGTCGATGCTCGTGGATCCAAATGTGGATTCCCCAGCCAACATCGATGCAGCGGTCAACATGAAGAACGACTACGAGGGCTGGAAGAAGAAGGCGCCCTCAGAGCTGGTAAATGGGCTGGATGGGGTATTTGTCCAGCAGTCTTCATTTTCAGGACGTTCAACAGGAGTTTGTGGCGTTTGCAACGCCTCAAAGTGTTTCGTTTGCCTTCTCAAGAAGCTGTTTTCGCATATTTGTTCAGAAGGCATGAACCTCAAACGGTTGAACTTCTATTGCAACAAGTCTTGGAAGCGGCATTTCTGTGGGTCCAAATTTCTTCTCGTCCACCTTCAGCCCAAAGTAGTGAAAACATCAGGTATGGACTCGCTTGACATCAGCCATTGATGTGACTGCAGTGCACGATGGTTCCAATCCAAACAACATTCATTCGATGTTGTGAACAAGCGAAAAGAAGTGCAGGTCAAACACATGCGAAGTCACAGGAACTCTCTTGATCTTTGTTGTTTGATTGTGGCAGGGATTTTCAAGATTTCAGTTGAATGAATAATGACCATCTCTGTCGAGATTGACTGTGGGTTAGGGCCTGTGCTCAGAGAGAACGATTATGATTCTGAGCATCAGCAAGAAAAGGCGTTCTGGAACCCACTCCAAGCAATTAATTTGTAGCATGTCCAAAAGCGGACTGCACCCTTTTTTGAGTTGAAAGAGCTTGGGTGTACATGACCATCCCTTGTCTTTCCTAGACGTGTCTTCCCTTTTGGACTATAGAAACCTCACCAAGTACATCAGCCTCCGATCTGTGCGCTCTCCACCTGTGAAGCAGCAGCTTCACAGGAGTGCCGCGCTAGTTGCCACACGAAAAAGAAAAAAACACGCACGAAACGCAAAAACGTGGTCTCTGGCAGGTGAGGCAGCTGACCCGAAAGAGTGTGGAAGGATGAGGATGTGGCTGGGTCCCTGCATAGGACTTCCATTCAGTTTCCTATCGAATCCATTCTGCAGGGTCACTGCATAGGCACATGTGATCTTTTTGGGGCGGCCCAGCACCACTCTGTACAAAGGAAATTCGTGGCGGGGGATTTCCAGATTTGCGCCACGGATGCCAGAGGTGAGTTTCTTTTATGTCTAAGACAAGCGGCGACCATATGCTGCTCTGTGGCGACCAGTTTCATATGGTTTCCATCCTTCTTTGTGTCCTACGAATCCACAATCCACATCCCCTCAAATTCTTTTCGGCCCAGATTCTTAAGGCTTTAAAGGGCGATGGAGAAGAAACCATTTCCGTAGAAACATGTAGAAAGAATGCCTGTGAAATGATTACTGATTGGCTTCAACATGCTTTTCAAGCGGTGTCCTTGCAATACTTCCTGATCTTCAACCAACTGTCGCCACATAAGTACCGGGCGATTGCGACTTTAAGGACTTTTGAGAGGAAAAACGGTGGCGCAAAAGGCAATCCAACTGGCCCAGCCAGCTTGGCCGACCGGAATCCCTGTGACGCCGGCAGAGCGCCGGACGGTGGCCGGTGGACGGTCGGGCCTGATGGACCGGACCGTGCTCGCGGTCGGGTCGGGTCGCCAGTGGGGACGGGTGAAGGAATGTCTCCGTCGGCTGAGCTACCGGGGGGGCCATGGTAGATCAATGAACCAGCCAGTGTTTTTCCATCGCAGTTGGCATCTCCGCTCCGATCCGAATCTCCACCCGGACCCACGCTCCCACCAAGTGGGAGCGTGGGCCAGGAATAGCGCCGAGGTGTCTCAAGCCTTCCATGTGATCCCGAAAGGTTTCTGGAACAACCCCAAAAGCCACCATCCTCCCATTCAAATCATTGTCCGGAAGCCTTAGTGATTTTGGTGTAAGATTTCTTGGCACAATGATTGGTCAGCGGCGTTGTTTCGTCCTTGGTTCGGAATTGAAACCCTTCCATCGACAAAGCGGTCAAGGGTGGACTCCAAGTATACTACCCATCATCGTGCTGTTTTTCCCATTTCCATTTTCAGTTGTTGTGTGCTGGCCGAGAAAGCCCTCATCAAGTTATAAGAACAAGGCCTTTACCAACCATCATAATCCACTGTTACTGGTAATAGGATAGACCCAACATATATTTATATAATCATCTATAATGTACTGTGTATATAGACTATAGTATATACATATGCAAGTGAAGGTAAAGCAGAGCTTCACAGAAGGCTTGGACCGCATCTCACACGCGCAGCCCGAAACTAGTGCAATTCAGTGCAGAGCCTAGACCGAAAGCGAGTGGTGGCATATGGAACCAAAAAGAGGGAAGGGTCGGCGACGGCCAACACACACTTAAACACCCACGTTGGAAATCCAGAGTGGGCGAAGGGTGCCCGCTTTGTTGGGGCTTTGCGAAGGCCTCCGCTTCAGAGCCCTCAAATCATTTGATGCAACGAGATCACGGTCTGAGCGATCCGATCTGCCGACTGGGGTGATGCATTTCATGCCGAGCTGAATGGAGTGAGATGCACGGAGGACGCCGCTGCCGAGGCAACCCACACATCATCGCTGCCATTTGCAGGTTTCACGCCTGACCACCAAGCATCAACGCCCACATTTGCTGATAAAAGAGCCTCAGGCTTTGCCTGGCAGAGACGTTCACTCGCGACGAAAGATGGACATGTTCGGCAGCCGGTCAGCCTGTCCCAATTTCAGACATTTTGAGAGCCTCATCCAAACATGCACATGGGAAAAGGTGACCAACATCTCTGACTCCAGGCTGTGCTGCTCAACAATGATCCATTTGCCTTGCAGACTCTACCTACACAGCCGAAGCTTAGCGGCCGAGTTCCGCTCCATGGCCCCTCGCTTCGCCTATGGCGGTGACGAGACGTGGATGGACGAGACCCCAGGCTCCGGTGACGGGCACTGGGGATGAGAGTTATCCGATGGAAAGAACACCGGAGAGCTGAAAAGAAGTAGCATGTGGCGTCTCTTGGGACTGAACGTTGGGGCTTTTGCTTGGTTGATTCCCTTAAACATTCCGCTTCGATGATTTGTTACAAACTTCCAGTTGAACATCGAAATTGAACCGATCACATGTATGCGCAAATGCAAGACATGGAGCATTCCCAGATCCCTTCATCTTGGCCAGCCACACATCCCTTCGTTCCTGAACCAGTGCCCGATGCAACTCGGCACATGGGCGGTTCCTTGACGCACCACATCTGGCCAAACAGCCTGGTCGCCCAAACGACCGCCACCTGGACCTCGGCGCAGTCACGGTCTGACCCAGCAGGGGGTCAGCACCTTCACTGGAACGGCCCCGCCGTAGGTCCCGGAGTCCGGTCACGACTTCACCTGGACGCAGCTTGCTCCATGCGCGCAGCTTGCCTCATCTCTGCCCTCCTCTTGCTCTCAGCTCCCCTGCGCATCGTCGCCCCTTTCTGGAAACGATGTCCGATGTCCGACGACGACAAAGATCCGATCCCGATCGGAAGGGACGAACTGCGAGAGAACAGCGATGCTGTTGGGATCAGTTGGAACCCAGATGGATGATTTGGATCATTTGAATGCTTTAACATGATGATCGAAAGGGTTTGAGGTCACCATGGATCACAGATCATTGACGAAGTTCGGAGTCACGCCGAACTGATTTCTTTCTGTGTCTTTTTTCTCCGCAGTGATCGATGCGTGGAAGCTGGAACCCATTCGCTGGCGGCCGCCTGGGTCACCCAGACTGGTGAGATGTTTTTGTGGTAAGTTCTGACATTAAAGTCTTAGACCAGTAGTAATTAGCAAGAAGCTACTTTATTATGTTGGAGGCCATCGCTACTCGGGTGGAGGCCATCGCTATTAGGTCGGAGGCCATCGCTACTCGGGTGGAGGCCATCGCTACTAGTAGAAAGGACGCTACGAGTAGAACGTGTAGAGTGCTTGGGGCTCGCAATCAAGCGCCGATCGGGTCAAGCTGTCTCTGTAGTCGACCGGGTGGAAACGATGGTCGCTGCTTCGAGATTCAGACGCATGTCCAAAAGCATAGGTCTCACCTGGACCTCCCACAAGATCATTGGCTCTTTGTTCCAGCTGCAAGCTCAAGCCCGTCTGTTTCGGCGCTTACTTCCGGACTGATCCAACTCACGATGTCAGTGGAATTTCTGTGCGGCACACTTGGAAGTTCCACTGCACATTCATCGGGGGATGATGCTCATGTGCACAACTTCACCAACAGGTCGCAGCACATCATGTCCCAGGTCAAAAAGCATCGCCTCATCGGTGGTAGACACGCACGCTCGCGCACCCGCGTGCGCGTGCACACACACACACACATGTGTGCGCCGGGCTGAAAGCTTGCACCAAGCTTTCCGGTAAGTCGACGCATACCATTTCAGTGGTAGAAACAGGGGAGGCGTCACCAGCAATGACAACTCACACCCACTTACCACTTTACCCAGACCCAGAGGTGAAAACATTCCATTTCAACAGGAGTGAGACTTCCACTTTGCCACTGGGCACTTGTTGTATTGTGAACTGTCCTCCAGCAAGTTCGAGGGGTGTCAGCGACTTGGTGAATGACAAGCGCCATCGAGCCTGACACCTGAACGATGTCCAAATGCTGAGACATCCCAGGCGGTGTCGCATATTGTGTGGTTGCTTTTCCGATCGCCTACCTTGAATGAAGTTGGAAATTACTTTCAATTCCTCAAGAAAAGCACACGCCTGGAAGAGATGGCCTCTTCATTTCTCAAAAGAAGTATGCCACTAATTGAGATGGTTCACAACTTTGAGGCCTTCTATGGCCCACAGCACGGTGGCTGGCAAGTCCGCGCCCGTGTCGCCACCGCGCCTGCTCGACCACTGCGCCTGCTCCACCACTGACTTCCTTTTTTCGTGCCACAGAGCCCAGTGGGGTGCGCCACCGCCACAACACCACACCGCTGCCGTCGCGCCGTTGACGCACCCCGTTGGTGACTCTTTGTTCGTGCCCCCTGTGCAGCCGACTCTGCCGACTTATTTTTCAGACGAGGTCTGCGGGGTCACGGGCAAGTGCCACCTTGGCGCCCAACGCTTCGGCGCAGTTAATTATCGATGCTTCTTGCGCGTGGAAAAGGCCAGGTACGTAGTCAAAATCAATATGTAAATCATCCAGCAACAGGAAAATGTTTGAACAAAGGGAAATCATCGAAGCGTTGTTACAGTCCAGCAAATCAATGGATCATCAAAAGGAAGAAACGTCTAGGACCTAGGAAACCAGAGGAACAGTAACGCCCCTCGACCATCCTCGACTTTTCCTTGCTTTTTTGTTTTCAGCGATGTTTCATAATTTTTGCAATGGTTTTGTTGTTAGCCTTCATTGTTTTAGGGTGGGTTTGTAAGGTTTATTGTAGAGCTTCGCAAACCGGCGATGCCATAAAGGTTGTCGTCGCTGTCCCTGTTAGGGCTCGTCAACTACAGTTTGATTATATAGGCTTTGCTGTTTTTGCCTGGAAAGGAATGATGCCTGCCTCAAAATCTTGGTTCGGCTGCTGAAAGTAGTCCAGGTGATCGTCAAAGGATGGGGAGCATGCAGCAACAGGTGTTCACGTAAACCCCCGGACTCAACCAGAAGAAAAGTGCGCCTTCGTGCATTGACACGGCTGACTCGTATTCATTCTTTACTGTGCTAGGCTCTTCTACCAATCAGGCATTTCCTGTTTTTCAGGTGCCTTACGACGGTGAGCCTTGTATGCTCCGCCTGCTGCCTCTGCCTTCATGTGGCTGCAGGTGTAGGACTTCATATTTCATCTCCATATCATGGCTTGGCATGTTGTTGTCATTCATTCATGGTAGCATTATGTTGCATTGTTGCTTGCAGAAACGGTGTGGAACAGCTTTGCTCCAGGCAAAATGCTTTTTTAATGCAACCTCTCATGCATTGTTTGCGCCGTCGGCCCTTTGGAGTGCCCTGAGCGCATGTTTTTCCACTTGCACTGACTGGCTCTTCCCTCCTCACATGAAATGGAAGTGGTCTAATCAACATGATGAATTGCTTTGGGCTGCATGTTGCGTCTGTAGATCGGTTGTGTGGCTTTCCTGCAACCCTTCACTGCAGATGGGGTCGCCCAGCTGGCATGTTGCTTGAACCTGCCCAGAGGCAGGGAAGAACGCCCGACAAATTGGACCTATGCAGATATCCGTGCTAAGGTGGACTCCCTGCTCGGTCTCCAACTTGCAGCTGTTTTTCCTGACCTTGATTGGCACAAGTTGTTTGGCGTGCTTGCAAGTGATTGTGCTGGCTTGTACGTTTGGTTAAGTAAGCGTGGCTATTATGTTGGCATTGCGCATGCCGGACGTGCTTTGCACCATTCTTCAGGTGTTGCTTGTAGATGGTTGGAACATGTTGTCCTCACCCTTCGCACGCATTGCCGTGACAGCCGCAAACTGCAGTATGAACTCATGAGAGGGCTGCAGCCAAGGATGCTTTTTCCTTTCCTTTGTGCCGTCAGTGACTAGTCTCGTGTCGCTGCTATGGAGCAGATGGACATTCGCTCCCGGCTTCCAAATGCCAATGTTCGGTCTTGCGGTGTGTGGGTTCACTGTGGGCTCCTGCTCCTGCGCAGGTCGCACAAGGGATGTGCATGGAAACGAGGCCCTTTCGATGCTTTCGATGCCGCAGGTTTTGGGCGTTCATCTGCTCATGCTGTTCCTGCCCGCTTGGTGGTTCCTGACATGTCCTCCAACATTGCGTTTGACTTGCTGTCCAAACAGGAGTTGCAACGGCGTTTCTTGTTCCATGGCTTGATCGGTCCTATCGACATTTACACACCAGACAAGCGACAGTTGCTTGCGTGCAGGTGCGTCACGAAGTGTGTTGTGATGGTTGTTGAGCGTAAGTGGTCGAATGGATGTGGGCCTGCCGCCTTGTCGCGTGCTGTCGGTAGTCTTGTCGGGCGAGGCACAAAGGCTTTGGCGACTCGGCAGGTTAATGCCGCTTTGCAAGCTAGAGGCCTCCCTCCTGTGCGTGGTATTTGCTGTCGTTTCCCTCGCACTTCCATGTTGTATGTTTTCCGTCGTGTGGGTTTGGGTTCTACATGTGGGCATGCTTGGAATCAGGATGAGAAAGCTTAGTCTTGCTCTCACGCCCGGTTGGTTCCTGGCTCTATGCCACAAATGCATTATGCTTGAAACGCCCCTTCCATCAGTAAGGACGTGATTTTGCCTCACGTTGAATATGTGTGCTACTGCCCTGGCATGCCAAAAAATGGAGGGACGTTCCTCGTAGACCTGCCCGTGAGAAAGATAGAAATGATGCCTGTGCGTGCGCGCCGCCCATGTTGGTTGATGTGCAGGTGGGTGACTGAGAACAACAGCTCTTCAGGGCCACTGCGCAAGCTTACAACAGCTACACTTGGGACATGATTTTTGACCCCAGTCACAAGGTACTCGTTCCTGATGACAAAAACAAGAACCATATACGGGTTGTTCCCTTTGCTTGTTATTTTGGGTTTCAGGGCCATGTGCTGCTTGGCACATGAGAAAGAGGTGGCCCATCGCGCTTTTGAATTTGTCATGGGAGAGTTTGGTGGAGGCGACGAAATATGATCGTTGCGCGAAGCTGTGGAGGTTATCAACAGCCGCCTCACGACTCCAAAGGTTGGACACGCTTTGCCTTGTACCTGCGGCACACGTGGTATGGCTAAGGCACCCGGTGTTTCTTTAACCGCTGACGCAGGTCAGTTTTGAAGTGGTGCCCCCCCCCCACACTATGCCAATAGAGTTGCCAAACATGTTTTGACGCGCGTTGTCAGATTCAGCGGGAAACATGTTGTCACTGTCGTGGCGGCCGTGGCAGGACGCCTTTTTTGGCGGTGCGGTTACTGACCCTGACACATCCTTTTCCCTGACACGGCTCCTGGATGAGCTGTGCCTTTCG